GTGCTGCTGAAGTCGTTCTCGGCGAAGCGGATGACGAGGCAGGTCTTGCCCACGCCGCTGTCCCCGATCAGCAGCAGCTTGAAGAGGTGGTCGTAGGCCTTGGCCATGGCCCCCGCCGCCGCCCGCCGCCACCGGGACCGGCCCGGCCCCCCCCGGGCGGGGCCTGGCTGGGCCCGGCCCTCCCCGTGACGTCACGGGGCGGTGATGTCACAGCGGGATCGCATGACGTCACGAGGCCGATGCGACCTTCCCAAGATGGCGGCGACAAAAAAAGACCCACCCAACATGGCGCCGCCGCCTCAGCCTTCCCAAGATGGCGGCAACGCAACGACCTTCTCTAAATGGCGTAAACCCCAAGCGACCATCCCCAGAACGCCGCGACTTCCCGAACTCTGGCAATTTAAACGACCACCACGAATGGCGGCAAGGGAAAGGACCTTCCCGAGGTGACGGAAACATTAACGATCGTCCCGAAGGGTGATGTTATAAACGACCTGCCCAAGATGGCGGTAAAAAATCCCAAGATGGCGCCGCTTCCGCCCCTGGGGCGCCCCGCAGCGGAAATGGCGACACGGGGCCGGGCCCGTCCCTTTCCGGCCTCTCACGCCGACGCCGCCATGCCTGTGAGTGCGGCCCGCGCCCGCCGCGTTTCTCCGCGTTCGCCGCCGCCGCGAGGCCGCGCCCGCCGCGCCTCCCGGGGGCGGGAGGCTGTGGGGAGGGGTCTGGGGAGGATGGCGGGGCCGGGGGGGCGCGGGGCGAGCGGGCCGAGGGGTGAAGGGGGGGGCGCCAAGATGGCGGCCTGAGGGGCCGGGGGGGTGGACGCGCTGGACTGAGCGAGGTCCTGCCCCCGCCGTGTCCCCGCAGCTCGCCAAGGACCTGCTGCACCCGTCCCCTGAGGAGGAGAAGCGCAAGCACAAGAAGAAGCGGCTGGTGCAGAGCCCCAACTCCTACTTCATGGACGTCAAGTGCCCCGGTGGGCACCGAGGACCCTGCGGGGTCCTTCCTCGTGTGCCTCTCCCCTCGCGTGTCCGGTGTTCTCCCCGTTATCCCTCCGTATCTCCCGGTGTCCTGGTGTCTTTTCCCGTTTCTCCCCCGTGTCCCAGGAGCCTCCCCCGGTGTCCCGGCCCGTCCCTCTCCACGTGTATCCCCCGTGTCCCTCTGTGTGCCCCGGGCATCCGTCCATGTCCTTCCCTGTCCTATGACCTGTCCTTCCCTGTCCCTGTCCCTCCCGGTGTCCTGTGACCCCTCCCCGTGTCCCCGCTGTGCCCCGGGGTCCCTCCGTGTCCCTCTCGGGGTCTCTCCGTGTCCCCCCACGCGTCTCCCCCCTTGTCCCGCTGTCCCCCCGTGTCCCGCTGTCCTCC